CCGAATGTCAAATTTAAAATCATTGTCATCAAATACAAGGTCTTGAACTATCAGGCCCCATCTTATCTTAAAGGCCTCGTAGTACTTTATCACTCAATAGAGCACTTCACTCTCACACTGCTGGCTTTCCAAGTAGGAGATGATTTTATAGAAGAGGGTAAGCCCTCTTCTATAAAATCATCTTAGTTACACTGAAATAGGTCTAGCCTGTGGGGGATTCCCATGATGCACAGAGTGCATCGGAGTGTGAATGTGTGTGAATGTTGTTTCGTTTGCACTTGAGTTTAGAAGTGCTTGTATATGAGTGGGTGTGAATGAGGCGTGTTGTATACAGCGCTTTGAGTACTCCATGAGAGTAGAAAAGCGCTGTATAAGAATCGGTCCAATCAGTCCATTCTTCACACCTCTTTTCACTACCTGTGTGTTTATATAGCACATTGCATGTAATCATTAGTTACTATTAAACTCTGGCTCTCGTTCACAGTATGTGCTTGTCCTGTCTTCCAGTCGTAGAGTGGAAGACAGCAGCCCATGACTGCTGTGACTGGCTTGTGGGTGCAGATTGGTTCTGACACAGGTTTCTTCATGTTAAAAGGGAGTTTTTCCTTACAATATAAAACAACTTGATCATTGTTGTCTGAAATGAATTAAATTGATTTCAAATGTTTAAACATTGTGAGTACCTGTTGTATGCCATAGGTCCAGCCCTGGCGGATGCGATCTCTTGCCCAAACATTGTGTGCATTCTCAGCTAGCTTGTCCACCATAGCTTCCTGGGTGGAGGTCAATTTGATGTGACTCAGATCCAGAGGAGCAGGTTTATAACCGCTGGATAACTCATAGCTGCACAGATAGAGGTGAAGTACTGCATTGTTATACAGAGATCCTAAATACCCAGAATGTGCTGATGTCTGAGACCAGTCCATTTTCATCCAGTTCAACATGCCAGTGGGGGTTTCTGTTGCTCTAGTCATAAACACTTCCTATCAGCCTGAAGCAGTTTGACCATTCTTCTCCAACATCACCTGCCGCTCACTGGATATTTTCTCTTTTTTGGACCATTCTCTTTAAATCGTAGAGATGTTAATGTGGAATAATCTCAGTAGATCAGCAGTTTCTGACAGTCTCTCAGGCACCAACAACCATGCCACATTCAAAGTCACTTCACCGTCACCTTTCTGATTGGTGTAAACTTTATCTTGGCCATATCTGCATCCCAGAATTCATGCAATGGGATAATTAGATAGATCTGTCTTAACAAGCCATTGAACACATTTAACTTCCAAAGTGACTGGTGAATGTGTATATTCTTCTGTACCCAGCTGTTATATATGGAACTGACATTTTGTTTTAATGGTTTAATGGTCTTACGTTGATGAAAGTTTCATGTTCTTGACTTTCTCTACAGCGTGTTCATCTGCTAGGCCAACATGGCAACCCAGAGCCAGGAGAGTTCTGTAATGGGCAATAACACAATCACAAAGAAAAGTGTGAATGGGATGTGCAGATGCTTGTTATGAATTTCAACAATAACTGATGCTCCTGCAACGTCCAAAGAAAACTGACTAATATATATGATGACATTTCAAATTTCACTGCACTGATACATTACTTGAGAGTTTCCAGAGACATCTGTAGATTGTAGCTTCGTTCCTGTTCAGGAAGCTTGGAGAACTCCACCAGACATGGGTGCTGCCGCTTATTATCAT